TCCTGTGGTCTTGCGCACCCGATGCGCCGGCGCTCAGTCGCTGCCACGTAGCTGTTCACAAGCCGACTCGGATAGACTGGCGCTGTGCTGGAATGGAATAGTACTGTAATAATAGTGATAGTGGTAGTAGTAGAGGAAGAAGTAGAAATGGAAGTAGAAGTAGAAGTACAAGTAGTTGTTGTTGCTGCTGTTGTTCCTGTAGTCCACGCTCCCCTCCTGGTGCCTGACCGTTTCGTGCGTTTCGTGCGCTTGCAGAAGCAAACGCACTCGCAGCAGACTTAGCAGCAACAGTATTTGGTAGAACTTGGAGGGGCTGGGAGATGAAAACCTCGTTGCGGCAGCAACGCACCGAACACTACTTGTTCCTGACAGTAGTGCTGCTGTGCATGGTCTATGTTTGCGTGCTTTAGCTGGTCGCCTTCCAGGATACCTTGTTGCGATAGCATCTACGCTTCTACAAATGCCTGCCTGCCCTGATGTGGTGCAGTGTGGTGCAGATTCAATGCACGACGCTCTTATCTCGTGCCAGTCATGTTCTGTGCTTTTACGCCGTTCCAAGCTATGCGGTTTTGTGCATTCTTTGGATTTGCTGGGGTAGTTGTTGCAGTGGGTCGACCTTGCTGCTACAGAACGTGCCTGCAGCTCTCTTAACAAGACCCTGCGAACAGCTCAGATGGCATCAAACCCTAAACCTTGAACATCCGCAACCAGCAGCCGTAAGCATCTCCAAACACTGAAGCCCTGAACGCAAAATCCATGAACCCTTGACCAACAGCCCCATTGAAATCCTGAAAAGCCCTGGGCCTAAACCCCATCCATGCTAGCACAGCCACTCCTCTGACTATCATTGTTGGATGTGGCAGAAAGGCACTGCAAAATGCTTGAAGTGAAAAGAAGAAAGGCTGGCAAGCAAGCCGGGGCGCGGGCCGGGGATGCCGGTCACCATTGCGAGCATGACTGCCTCAAGCTGGTACGGCCACTCCTACCTCCCAAGAGATGTGTTCAAATTCTACCGCCAACTTGCCGCCAAGTTCCCAACAATTCGGCAGCAAAAGGGGGCCGGAGACCGATGCAACAAGCTGGGAATAGTGGTTTGGGCACAAGGCCCTTTCCTAGAGCTTCCACCGTGGCTAGCCGCAAAATGATGGGTCGTCTAGAGAAAGGGAGGGCAGTGGGTCAAACGTCCACAGGCAGCTGTGTTCATGAATGCAGGTAGACAACAGCTTCAGAGGCAAAGTTGAAGGCCAGAAGTTGGCCAAGATTTTTGTCTAAAGGAAGTGTTGTCCTGCAGTGCTTGCAGCATGCAACAAACCCAAAGCGCATTGCACCTCAGTCAACAAAGAACAGGGCTGGAGAAGGCATCCGTCCTGAGCAGCAATGTCTTAGCAAGTGTTGCAGCTTCTGTTCCTCCTGTCCATGATCCAGCCGGAAATCATGAACCCAAGCTCGGCGCACAGCATTTGACTTCGAAATACTGAATGAGATGAATGAAGAATAACTTGCTGGGTACCTCCAGTACTTGTTGTGCTGAGGCCTTCTATTGGCTTCAGACAACGTTGAGCGTATCTTTTCGAACTTCACAGCGTGTTGGCTGCAAGTTCTTGCTACGAGTAGTAGACAGGCACGCGTAAGCCTGGGTGCCACTTGAGACAAACAGGAATATCACTTGTGAAGTGGCTTCAGGCCAACAGATTTGGCACGAAAGCACTTTGGGTAGTAGAAGCAAAAGGAGGGAAATGTAGATACCGCGAAGTTTGTGTACAGGGTTGCCATGATGGATGTCATGTTTTTCCTTCGCGCAAGGCGATGCAATTTGCCCGCTCAGGTGTCTGACAGGTCATCAGCCTTTGTTGCCGCGCCCGGTGCTTTGATGATAATTCTCGCTGCCATCTTGTAGTGAATGCCCCTAAGTCATGGTAGTCGTGAGGTCGCCAACGTTCTACGACATTGTGACTGCGGAGCAGTGCTCTGGCATGTCGCATGAATGCATGCAGATTGCAACATAATTAACGCACAGACCATTACGCGAAGGTACTGGCAATGGCTCACTGGACCAGTTCAGCGGACTTTGCTTGATGGTTCGCGGGGAGCTTTCTGGGAAGCAGGAAGAGGTGATGGTAGCACAGGACTCAGCTTAGGTCCTTGGCATCTTCAATGCAGATCGACATCTTGACTCCTGGCAAGAACATCACTGCCTGTGGTATGCTTTCATCTCTAGACAGCAGGTCCAAATATTTGCTTTAGAAATATGAGTATATTGGCCATGTGTACCTGTGGTGTTGGTAGTTGTAGGCTCGACCAAGATGTTAGGGAATAGCAGAGTGCACAAGGTCACCACACAGGAACTAGGATGCAATGAAAGACTGAGCTGGAACACCAAGACGATAGAGGCCATGCAGTAGTATCTAAATCCGTTTCACAAGATGGAGCCCATTGTTTGCAATATCCGTGCCAGACATCATCTGTGGCGATTCGCAAAAATGACGTCATGTCATAACACCAGCAGCACCAAATTTCACGTTGTAGTCATGGGATGAATGCTTGGCCTTTGCGCATAATTCGCTCTGCTGGTGAGCATGAAGGCTTCCCTACATCCTTCTCACCGTCGATAAAGATAAGCGCAGTGCATACGATCCTGAGCAGGTGTGTTTGAGCTCGCTGAGTGTGCTCAGGAGAGTACTCACCACGCGATTTGTCGCCAAGGAGGCATTCGTCTGACTGTCCTCGTAGCAGTTGACACGCACACATCCATTGGTAGGTTACTGGAGGATCTTCGCCTCTTAACCCGTCATATACGTGGTGCCCCAAGACGTGATGTTGTGTTCAGAGCGGCATACCCCAACCTGCAAAATCCTGTGCTAGTGCTAGCCAGCAGATCCTTTTTCTGACAGTCCCATTCTCTGAGGTGGTGTGAGACTGCCACAGCTGCTACCAATGCTTCAGATGACAGCAGCCTGCCTACAATGGTTGTACAGCAAACTTTGGCGGAAGCAAGTTCACAGGAGACTGGGTTCGCGTGATGTCCAGTGGATCGGAAAAGCCCTTACGAGTTATGCAACTGCTGGATTGGGGACATCGCAATTGAACTAGTTATGACCTGTTTGCGATGCATCGATTTAAACTTTCCCCTGTGGCCCTGCTTGAGGCAATACCACGACCCCAGACTCAACAACAGCCACTTGGCCATTCATGCTGACTGCCATCATTCACTCAAGCCGTGTCTCCGGTACTTGTGAAACATTTTGAAGGGGCTGTACAACAATTCGCGCAGAGGTTCTTGGGTTTTGGCAGAGACTTTGGCAATTTGGTAACCGCCGGACACCTTCTAGTTCATGGCCCCCGGCCACGGGTTTGTGGCAAAAACGTTGTCTTTTGCTGGCCAGACATGGATGGCCCGAATCGCGCTGCTCCGGGCAAAGTAGATTACAACTGTTACATCATTTATACTGTTAAGAAACGTACAGGAGGCGTATCAGAGGCGTATCGGAGCGTATATCAGGCCATGCGACCTGGACTCTTTTCCTAAGCAAAGCGTGGTAGAGCCTGTAGAGCGACCTCCCAAGTATAAGCTCAAGGTTTTGAGGAAGAAGCCACAGGAGATCCCACCACCCTACTGGCTTGCATGCTCAATCCACAGAACTGATGCTTGGAATGCTCAACTGCAGCACATGTCATGGTGGCTTCCCAGAATGGCCAACCGGCCAACCGTCGGCGCTAGCTAGATGACAAAGGAGTGTTCTTCCACTGCAGCAAATACGTGATAAACAATGGGGCCCACAGCTCGAAAAACATTGTCTTGCGGACTTGACAGGATCTGCTAGAGGGCAGCGGTTTGTGGGGGAGGTCGGCTCTAGCTCTCTCGGACATAGGCCGCTCCTCCCCCCACCTCCACGTTTCGGGTTCAGTGAGAGGGGAGCAGAGGCTTTCCATCCGTTTGGCTATGCAACACGCACCCCCAACGTCGGTTGAATTTCCTGCGTAGCACATCCGTTTTGCATTGTAGCACACTTGTGTGCGCATGAACATGGAGCAATCGGGCGCGCACCGCAGCCTGATTGCTCGAA